TCCAATATGCAATCCTCTTCTCTCCCATGCTCTCTACATGCCCTGCCCATCTCATCCTCTTTGATTTGATCATTTTAATTATACTCGAGTATTTCACGCATTTATTTCAAACTAATCGTCCTTTATATTGAACAGAACACTTTTTTCCTTCCGTCATAACTCTCTTCTCTGGAATCGAAACACTGCTCCTGATTTAGTGCAATTCATCATAACCTCCAACCCATATATACAGAGAGAGAGAGAAGTAATGAAGGAGAAAACGAGTGAAAAGCAGAGAAAGAATTGAAGAGGATGTAAAGAGAGGAAGACTTCCTTATCTGGCGAAGCACGATGTTGTTTCTGGCGTTAAAGGGCGTGTTGGTTGGAGGGGGAAAACTGGTCTTAGAGAGAGAAGGCTCTACGTGTCAGTGCCAGCAGAGGTGACGGCAAGTGCGAGGTGTCACTGATAAATAACTCCAATGAGCCAAGTCCTTATTGAGAAACCAACAGCCATTGAGCCATCCAAGAATTTCCCCAAATTCTACGGAACCCAAAGGTTCATTAGAGTGTTCACTATCTATCCTGATTCACATGGACCCTGTTACATCCCCCATTCTATTTTTCTAAGATTCATTTTAATATTATCCTACCACTCACGTCTATGTATTATGACGCCTATATCCATTGGTAGATAACGACTCGGTAAACATATTCCCGCAGGAACCAACGCTCGTTACAATAGGATATCCATTGTTAGGCAAGGGATCATTAAACACGCCTCCATAATAACAGAGGCTGTTTTCTGCGTGGTCCGTTCAAAGTGGTTATACAGAAATGTTCAGCGGCATAGAGTGAAGTGAAGAGTGTGCATTGTTATCACTAGCCACTTTCTGGTAACGAATCTTAGCAATGGAGATCCTTCAGTTTCCGCTGCCCGATGCGTAACACTCCACAGCTGAACCCTCAACTCTTAACTGACTGCAATGTCATCTACAATAGAACTCATCGGCACGGACCACACGGAAAACATCCTATTTGTTGTCAAGAATTCGTGTTTATCGGTCCGTTACCTAGCAATGGATATATGCGAACCACATAGAAAACACCTCTTGCGACACTGGTTCTACGGGTGCGTGCGCGTATTTCGGACATTGCTTAGAAATTGGTCTACATTTCATAGTAACATAACCCATATTTCCATAATGAAGTTTACTATACACAAGGTATGCATCGTGTGCAGCTGGGATTGGTGTGTACTGGCATCCCACTTCTGACACCAATACAGCCGTAAGGCTTCGAATGTTGAACCCACGCCTACGACAAAGTAACACGATCCGATTCTCGGAAACGAAATACAAATTAGGACTCATTCATTTCACGTGCCGCTGCGAGCTCTCAGTTGCAAAGAGAGCGTGGGGCTCAAATAACAAGACAGCACAACAGATTCTGCTCCATTTTCCCGATAACATGTACAGGTATAGTGATCACAAAAATAGTCAGTCCAAATGCTGTAACACGCAGAAACCTTTCTTACCTCTGCTCCCCATACACAAGATGTGAGACCATCCGTGACTTATTATGCACCGTGAAATACTAACGGCCCTTCACAGCGACCGCGCATGAAACGTCTTCGCCTACTCGAACGCTGGGATCTTACGTTCGAATCCCACTGAAAACACGGATGTTTGCGTTTATTCTGCGTTTGTGTTAGGTAGCACTTTTGCGACGGGCTGATCCCCGTCCAAGGAGTCCTACCGACCCTCTAAGATGAAAAAAACTAAATTGAAACGGAGCGTTTCATGGATGCCCTATGCTTCAAGTGGAAGCAACGGGAACAAATATAGGCAGACAGACAGACAGACAGAGAGGTAGACAGGTAGACGAGTAGGTAGGTAGGCAGGTGGGTGGATGGATGGATAGGTAGATAGATAGATAGACAGACAGACAAGTAGATAGACAGATAGACAGATAGATAGATAGATAGATAGATGGATAGAGAGATAGATAGATAGACAGACAGACAAGTAGATAGACAGATAGACGGATAGATAGATAGATGGATAGAGAGATAGATAGATAGACACATAAGAGTAGATAGATAGATAGACAGACAGATAGATAGATAGATAGTTAGACAGACAGATAGATAGACAGACAGATAGATAGATAGATAGACAGACAGATAGATAGGTAGTTAGACAGACAGATAGATAGACAGACAGATAGATAGATAGATAGACAGACAGACAGATAGATACTGCGTTAAATTCTATGGTGATCTAATCAAAGGTGACGAGACAAAAGAGAGTGCTAACGAACATGGAGACAGTCTCTCCCCATAATACGTCTGCTTCCCTCTATAATTAATACATTTGTGTCCAAAACATTTTGTTGCTCATTGCTCTGACCCTCAACCTCACCGAAATCACTTGTTCGCCTGTCTCTAAACGTCTCACCCCTATCCATTTTTATCCAGCTCCACGAGACTCGCCTCTTCATTCATGTGCTTCTACGTGCTTGTGCAAATGGAGACACCCCCGCCACAGTGCCGAACAGCTGCCTCTACACAACTCCCGTTCATTCAGTCAATAAACATGTAAATGCAATCGGATCAGTCAATTCGTGTAATGGCTCACAAATTGAAAATTCGCAATTAACAGCCGCAGGTTCCTTTTATCTTCCAATGAAACAGACAGCTGGAGACTTCAAATTGTGTTTTCGTGGGCTACATGTAGACTGTCTGCCTCAGTCTACATGAAATCGTGGCTGTAGGTCTCAATCAATGTTTTCCTTTTAAGCAATTTCGCCTTATGAGAAGTACACGTCATATGGGATTTGTGGTAGACAAAGTGGCATTGGGGCAGGCTTTCTCCGAGCACTTCGGTTTCCCCTGCTAATTCTCATTCCACCGACTACTCCTCACTCATCATCTATCAACCGGGGCTGGTACAATAGGCCAATTAGTGACCGACGTACCAAGTGCACTCGTCTCACCCCACCCCAACAAACTAAAATAAAAACAGAAGAAAGCAGGCAGCAAGATAAATAGATTGGAAACGAGATATTCGTCGGACAATTTAAAAAGAACTATAGATGATACAACTCGCCTATCAGAGTGGCCAAGCGGTTTAAAGCACGAAATGTTTCGCCTGCTCAAACAGTAGATCGTAGGTTCGAATTCCACTCGAGGCATGGATGTCTGTCTGCATTTATTCTCCGTTCGTGTTGTCCTGTGCAGGTAGCGGCCTTGTGACGGGCTGATCCTCAGTCCATAATTATAAAAGCAAGAAACAAACAAACTCCGTGGCTTGTAGTCTGCAAGCGAACTATACCGACCGAGCGACCGCCGCTTGTCGGTGAAGTTAGTGCCAACTTTTGCGGATAGGGTGTCACGTGGTCAGCGCAACGGATCCCTACCGCCGTTAATTTCGGTTTTCTAGACCAGTGCCGCTATTTCCTTGAAACAGCTCCTCAATTATCCTCACGAGGCTGAGTGGACCCCGTTCCAGACCGTCTACTCCTCAGAAAATCTGGTGGCGCCGGTAATCGAACCCAGGACCTCTGGATCTCTAGCCAAGAACTCTGACCACTAGACCACAGAGGCGGTCTAGTCCATATGTATAAGATTCATAAATTCAGAATTAGTTTTGAAAGGAAACAGACCAGAGAGTCCAATCCGTCGAGGCAGAAGAGAGAACTCTTAATAACCACCGCTGTGGAATCTCAGATCCAACATAGTCTTTGATCACTTATAAAATAAATACACTTCCGTCTGTCAAACGAGAATTTTCTTCATACTTGTTAATAAGCATAATGTGAAGTGTAAATATCCATCCCTGTAACAGGCCGTGAAGGCCCATGGGGCAGTAGGACGTCAAGGTTCCCACATTTTGTCCAGAAAACCGGCTTACAAATGGCGGAAAGGTTATCAGCCTTACGCGCCGGCCGCCCTTTACCCCCCAGGAAGCTTCCTGGTACTCATTTCTGTTAGATGCTTAGTCGGCCCCAGGGCCATAGTGCGGCAGAAAGGATTAGGTAAATTTAAAGAACCATGATATGTATACAGTGGCCATCTTGTAGTGCACTCAATTTCACCTGTTACTTCACGACATGTATCGGCAACATAGTGCCATCATCAGGTGCCCTAATCACGCTAATCTATTGCATTGCTTGCCATTATATGTCTTTATAAAATTATTTAAAAAGTATTTAAGAAGTGCATATTCGTCAACTATAATAAATTTACACACACTAAAACTTGTTAAGATTATTCGTCTTATGTGTCTTAATTAAAATTTGCGTGTGGTTCTTCTACTATGGGGGTCGTTTTTCTTATATTCTGTGTAAACCGTGTCTTGTGATGTGTGTTCCCATAAGTAGAGAAATAAGGTATAAACCACACTGAACCAGAAAACACTACACATCCGTAGCAGAAAAAAGAAGCAAACGAATTCCCCAAATTAAACCTAGACAACTCATACCCAACTCAACCACCCAATAAACTAAGAGAAAGAGCCCAAAACCTCAAATAAAAAGGAAGACAAACCATAGCAGGTACATGAAAAATGGATGAAAATCAGTGCAACAGGACGCTAAAATACAACATTAGAAATTTAGAGAAATCCACCTCTTTCAGCCGATTGCTTAGAAAAACATGGGCGCCTCGACGTCTGACAAACTTATGTGCCTGCACGACATGTTAGAGGGACAGTTTTACTTTTCACAGAATACATACAGACAAATGCTTCTAAACGAGACATGCCGTGAGTAGCGTGGAGAGAACTAGCAGACATTAGTCTGTTAGCACCTGCTCACGCTGGTTCCTCGCTCGCGGATTTTCTTTTTCTTTCTCCTACCCTGAAGATAGAGGCGATACGTTCCTCAACGTCGGTTAACACAATATCTATACGGCGGCACATCCCAGAAGACTGCTTTCTTCATAGTCAAATCTCACATAGTCTGAGATTAATCTCGTACCGCATAAGAAAGAGGTTAGGTCACAATGTGAAAGCAATACTCACACATTTCCTCGCCCAGCACCCAGGTCTCAGGTTTGGTGTTCACTTCCACCAGAACGGTCGGCGTGCAGACCAGGAGTACCATGAGATCTGCCACGCTCAGGTTCATCAGGAAGATGTTCGTAGAATTACGCATATCCTTCGTCTTGAGGATCACTATGGGTACCATGATGTTGCCGGCCACTCCGATGCCCAGGATTACGACGCAGAATACCATGGATGTAATCCTGATGTACCCAGGGATCACAGGCACCTCAGCCCCTGTGCTCCCGTTCCCCACCCCCTCAACCCCCGAGAAGTTGGGGTACAAGTAAGCAGCCGTACTGTTGCTGTTGTCTTGCCCAAGTCCTCCAGCACAGACAGCCGCTACGATGATCGTTGTGTCCAGCGCACGGGTTTCAACTTTAAACGAAGGACACTTCACGATTTTTTTTATTATTCCTCATCTGTAAAAGTGTAAGAATATGTTGACGAGATTTTTTTTTAGAAAACACATTTCTTATTCGGATTAATATTTGTTCTATCTGTTAAAGAAATGGCAATCAACTTCAGAATTACGTCCTGTTTCGATGTATGTTTTAATGATTCCATCTTATATTTCTTTCTGTTAACACAAAGAATTTTTTCTTTGCAAGTATTTATAATTACGTGTCCTCGTATGAAGAACTGTATCAATATTTTCTTCCGGAATATATACTTTTCCTGCAATAACAGTCACTTAGGTTCACATCGTGTCGTTTTGAATGGGTACTTTGACACACGCTGTCACTCTAATTTCGTCCGTTATAGTAATTATTTTACGAACACAGTTTAAAGCACCTTTTCTCTGGAACTTTGTAAATTTCTTTTGATTCATTATAAAATTAATTTTCACAGGACATATATTCGTGTCAAACTCTTGGAGAGCCTCTATTCTAATTTTATAAAAGAAAACAACTGGGAAAACTGACTTGTTTCTATAACACCATCGTTCTATATTTTTAAGTCATATTTGTACAAAACACTTCATAATCTGCTATTTTAATACTTTCGAAATGATCTTAGAATTCCTTAATAATCTCTGTTTTATTTCATAGATCCATTAAGAATATAAGAACAATAACTTCAGACTGCCAAACTGAAAGTTCTCCTAAGTACTAATGCTTCAATCTCCTTTCGACTGTACAAAAGAATTTAATTTCCTTCAGGATGTTAGAAATAAGCAGGTAGATGGCAAAAGTCTCTCTTTTATGTTGAAAGGTTGGTGATCCTGGCACACGGAGACGGGCAAGTTAAAAAGTTCTAACTCATAAAAACTTATGGGCGGAGTTCCTGCAATCCATCAAAATACAGAGATAAGCACTTCAGGTTCCACTTATGCGGCTTATAATTCATCATTACAATGAGAAATGCAAAAGGCCAAGCAATTTGACAAAATTCTGTGTCCTTTCAAACAACACATATATTCAAATTACTACATTAAAAATTAACATCCAACAGATGTTAAGTTTTGGATATATCACCAGAAATTGTCGTGTATTAGCGGATCATCTTCAGTGTCTAATTACATAACGTAACAATATTTTGTTGTGATTACAGCTACTTGTCAGCTCGATCGGTTTGTAGAAGTGAACACTATACGTATTTAAAAATGTAAAGATATTTACAAAATATCTGTACGTAACTATAAAACTGGTTNTTACATTAAAAATTAACATCCAACAGATGTTATTATGCTTCAGTCAAGTTTTGGATATATCACCAGAAATTGTCGTGTATTAGCGAATCATCTTTTCTTGACCTCGGCACTAATTGGAGATGAGTGGTCAGCTCCAAGGTCTGACCGCTTTACCGCCGTGCATAGAGCCCCCAGAACCCTCTGGAAAGGAGGCCGCGTTGTCCCCAGAACCAGTATTGACGATGTGGAGAGGAGAAAAATCTTACTCCTACCGGGATTCGAACTCCAAGTGGCAAGCCGTCCAGCCCGTATCCAGTCGCTATACCTACTGAAACTGATGTGTGTAATATCTATATACAGACTAACCCCACCCATAGAACTGTAAAGCCTAGGTATGAAAACTGACTAAATTTTAATAATTAAGGCTCATGGCTGCTAATCATTAGAATATACAAAACTATAATTTTGCCTGTGGTTCTGTATGGGTGTGAAACTTGGCCTCTGACATTAAGGGAGGAACATAGACTGAGGGTGTTTGAGAACAGGGTGTTGAGGAGAATATATGGACCGAAGAGGGATGAAGCGACAGGAGGTTGGAGAAAACTGCATAAAGAGGAGCTTCATAACTTGTACTCTTCTCCAAGTATAATTAGAATGATCAAGTCAAGGAGGATGAGGTGGATATGGCATGTAGCACGAATGGGGGAGAAGAGGATGCATATAGGATATTGGTGGGAAAGCCAGAAGGAAAGAGACCACTGGGAAGACCAAGGCGTAGGTGGGTTGATAATATTAAAATGAATATTAGAGAGATAGGATGGGATGGTATGGATTAGATTGATCTGGCTCAGGATAGAGACCAGTGGAGGGCTCTTGTGAACACGGTAATGAACCTTCGGGTTGCATAAAATGCTGGGAAATTCTTGGGCAGCTGTAGAATTGGCTTCTCCTCAAGAAGGGCTCAGCTCCGTAAGTAAGTAAGTAGTCGCTGTCTTCTCACCGCTACGGTCCGGTTTCGATCCCGGGCCTGGTCAAGTGGGATTTGTGGCGAACGAAGTGGCGCTGGGGCGGGTTTTCTCCGAGTACTTCGGTTTCCCCTGCCAATCTTCATTCCACCAATTGCTCCATCGTCCTAATCACTCGGGGCAGGTCGCCGTGCCGAGTGGACCCAGTTGGACTCCACCCCTCACTAAGCGAATTAAAAAAAAAGTAAGTAAGTAAGGATGCTAATATTAATGCAATACAATGAAGCGACAGCTCGGGAACTGAAGTTTACACGTGACAGGATCAGGTCACCAGATTGTACGTGTATAATTAGGGGAACTAAACGTTTTGGTTGTATCTTGAGAAAAGAGAATAGCTTATATATACGTAGTTACTGGTTCTGTTGGCGTAGAGAGCGTGGGATGTTTTATGTGGCTCAGTTGCTGTGGTTGGCTTTTATATATCCCTTACATACTGCGTCGGCACTAAATTAAGGGCATCCCTCCACGTGTTTTGATTGTATTGTCTGTCTTGAAGTTTACTGCCCTGTTTATTTAGCAGGATGTGGCTAGGAACCACAAACAACTTTGACATTCTGACGTTGGCCCATAACACACATCAGACCTGTGAACACATGTATATCTGTACGTCACTGAAAGGTGCCGACACTCTTTGAGCACCAGTTTCTCATACCAAAAACAACAAAAATGTTCATAACAGCATGTGTCCGGAAACATTTCACTTTTAAGTTTTAGCTGAAGGAGTGCGCCTATAATTAGTGCTCAAAATGCCCTCCGTGAGATTCGATGCACGCCTCGACACATCTCATCATGGACCGCCGCATCCCTACAAAGATGCCGGGGCAGTTGCGGATAGTCTGACAGGCATCCACAGTGCAATGTGAAGTGCCTCTTCGTTGTCAGTAGGAGCTGCGTACACAGGCGTGTTTAGGTGTCCCCACAGGTGAGAATCCAGAGGATTCAAGTCAGGTGAACGTGGAGGCCATGCAGTGGGTCCTCCTGTACCTATCCGTCGGTCATTATAGTGAGAACATCTCGCACAGCACGGAGCACCATCATGCATGTACCACACTCGTGCTCTGCTGCCAGTGGTACACCTTCCAGTAGCTTCGCCAGATTATGTAAGTGGTTGCCTGTGAGCCAATGTGGCGAAACATGCAGGCCTTCCAGTTACCAACAATCGCTAAAAAAAAAACTCCGTGGCTTGTAATCTGCAAGCCAACTACACCGACCGAGCGACCGCTGCTTGTCGACGAAGTTAGTGCCAACTTTTGAGGATAGAGTGTGACGTGGTCAGCGTAACGGATCCTCACGGCCGCTAATCTCGGATTTCTAGAACGGACCAACAACCGCTGCTGGTGTCTACACAGTATTCTTGCAGCTATAACTTGCAAAATAAAAGTTTCTGGACATAGGAGCACGTTTATATCGATATTTTCTGTGTTTTGGTATGAGAAACTCGCGCCCAAATTTGTCCGTACCTTGCAGTTACATGCATATACATATATATCTAAAATAAAAGCCTCTTTATGCCCGTATCACCTGACTGTATGTTATGTCTCTCTCAAATTGCAGTAGCCTTCATGTGCTTACACAGTTGGGAACTCTACCTTCAAAACTGGACCACCTGAAGAATAGAGATGTAATCTAATTCACAGTTTTAATGGAGAAAGTAGGGAAAGAGATAAAAGTGTGAAGGGGGATGAAGAATTAAGATATTAAACTAATGACTATCTGTCGATACAAAACAATACGAAATCCATGAATTTAATACGCAAGTGAACTATACCGACTGAGCAACCGCCGCTTGTCGGCGAAGTTAGTGCCAAATTTTGCGGATAGAGGGTGTGGCGTGGTCAGTGCAACGAATCTCCACGGCCGTTAATTTCGGTTTTCTCTACCGGATACCTATTGATATTCAGCATCTTTTTCCACTATTACCAATTAAACTGAATATAATTTGATTCACAACGAGTACATTCTTCTGTAGCCTTTTTCATTATAATTAAAATTTACTGAATTGGCCAAAGTGCGTAACGTAACACTACGAGTATTTGAGACCTACAGCAAATGCCAAACTTTCCATCTGATGCATTAAATACATAGCTCAAAACACCAAATAATTTCCTATATATACTTTTGGGGGGGGCAAAGAGAGAGACTCAGCAGTTGTACATATTTATGTCTTATACGATGCCACCGAAATGCTAACAGAAGGTTTCTTGAAAAGAAAACAAGAACTGAAACGATAAGTGAAGTATGAATCTCTCTTGGGGCTTTTGCCATCCGTTTCAGTGGCACGTTTCCACAGTTTTGACGTAGTGACAGACGTCGTGATCTATGAATGTAAACCAGATATTCATAGAACAATACTAAACATTTCTATAGCTTTTCTTCATACCTTAATAACATTATCGTTTCGGTTAACCCCATCACATTTGTAATTTACAAAGAAAAAGACGGGAAAAAGTACGTTTCAAATGATAGACATTACTTAATTATTACGAAGTCACAATTTTGAGGGAATATCAATCGTAACGACAGACGTATTTGTTAAAAGTCAGAAGCAAACGTAATCTGTATGTGTGTTAAGAGGAAGAAAGACCACACTAACAAACATAATGAGAAAAAAAGATTTTATCGCACATGTATTGTTCAACTTTCAGTACTTTTTTCACGATAAGCCACTGTTACACAGTAACAACAGAATACGTTCTTATACGCTACAACCGTAATTTGCATTACTTGACCTACAGGCCTGATCAATTGACTCAATATCGTAAAATAACCAAGTAATTAACTTAAAAAATCTTGCGATCCTGGCGTCCTGAAAACATAAATTAGATTCCGTATTTAAGGATCCAGTTGCAAGTCACATTAAAACGTCTGTGTAGAACACAGTCTGCCAATAATGCAACAAATTGTTCCTTTTTCTTCCACTTATACTTCTAACACAACATGTTTCGGCCCTGGATGGTCATCTTCAGGTGTCTTAATATATTACAAGGGCTACACTGCATTAAGACACCTGGAGATGGCCATCTAGGGCCGAAACATGTTGTGTTAGAAGTATAAGTGGAAGAAAAAGGAACAATTTGTTGCATTATTGGCAGACTGTGTTCTACACAGATGCACATTAGAGATAAAGTTCTGCACTCTTATTAGTTACATCTTTCGTGCGTTTGCAAAATAATCCAGCTCCTACTAAATTCGCTTAGCTCGTCCGTTCATATGCACGGAACAAGCCCACAAGAGCTAGAGGTATTTCTATGAAAATTTGTATTGGAAAACTTTTGTACTACGCCAGTCTTGATTCATATCTAACATGTTTAATGATAACATTACATGAAGACACACATGCTTTCTTGCACGCAACTAGGGAAATATTTATCAGACAGGAAATGTTTCCCAACAAACTTTGCAAAAAGAAAATGAAAACATATTTCCTTTCCCATATATTTTCCCAGTAAGTCATGTGGATTTCCAGATAATTTAAAAATGTATATTAAGAGTACATTTCCGGACTTTCATAAACAAACAACAAATCATAGCTTGAAGAAAAGTCAGAACAACGAAAAGAGAAACAGAAAATCTTTGCTGACTTCAGATTATATTAACATTCTATTTGTTTAATTCTTTATTTTAGACTAAATTATGTTCGAAACACAAACTGAAAAATTATGCGCATTTAAGTTTTGTTTCGTGCTTGTAACAACAGTAGGGGCCTGGATAGCGTAGTCGGTATAGCGACTGGCTGGACGAGCAAGGTGTCGGTGTTCGAGTCCCGATAGGGTCAAGAATATTCTCTTCTCCACGTCGTCAAGACCGGCTCTGGGGTCCACCCAACCTCCTATCCAGCGGGTGCCAGGGGCTCTTTCCGGGAGGTAAAGCGGCCGTGACGTGAAGCTGACCACTCACCTTCAACTAGTGCCGAGGTCAAGAAAACGTGGATCTATACCTCCGCTCCCCCATACCTCTTCATGGCGTAGTGTTTAATTGGTCAAACACTGGGACAAATTTACCTTTTATTTATATCAACACAAATCACTAAAGCCTTAATACTTATTCTTTACTCGTTCTGGAAGCCTATATGATTTTGATTTATGGCCGATTTGAGCAAATATCATTACCTACAGTTGAAAGTTGCATGTGAATTCAATGTTTGATTATCATAAAGTAAAGATTAGTGTTTCCTTCTGCGGAAAGACCCCATTCACTGCACACTGTACAATTTTGAACACTTTTTATTACACAGCAGGTTGTGCAGTAGAAGAAAGTGTCACTTTTAGAAAAAAATATGTGAATACGTTGTCCGAACTTTCCCTCCTCCATTTTACAATAGCCCTACATACCCATAAACTCAGTTGCGGATTATCAGTTCCTGCAAATAAATAACTTTCTTTTCGCGGGAACTATTTTGCGTGACGTAATGACTTTCAGTTTAGAAAACTTCCATAATATTATCCTTTTTACGCGATAAAAGCATGTTGTTAACTTGTTATGATAATGAAACTAGTTCTTCGAGTGTGAATAACCAACACATAAAACTGAACTTGGGCTTGGCACAAATTCAGCAACATAAACCTAATCCTTATTTCAGAATTTCCATGGCGTAATTTCTCGACTTGATTTCAGGATTTCGCGGTGTTGCATTGCTAATGGCGAACTTGCTTATGGGCAATGACACTGCCAACATGTTGCCAAGATGTGTGCTGAAGATTATAGACTTCTCGGCTGTGTTCAAATATCTAACACGCTACATGGCTACACGGCATCCCAACCCAAAAGACAGTAAAATCTTCGTAGCCACTGCAGTGAGAAATTCCAATATCACACAGAAGTTTCCTTTATTTCCTACGGTTCGGTTATCTCCACTTCTCTTCAAGGTTCCATCCAAAAACTGGACCACTATTGATTTTTCAATTTATAAATTTATTGGCCTAAGGAATATTATCTGGTCCGGTTCAGTATGATTTATAATGTTATGGAAAAAAAAAATATGAAGTTTTCCGTGCTTATCTAATTAAGCACTACGCCATGGCTCATGTTATGGAAGAAGGAAAATAATTACCACTAATATTCTAATGTTTTATGCCCATCAATGTTACTTGAAGAAGTTAATCAGAGGTTTATCTGATTAAAATATGAATGGGCTATATTTACCGGTTTTGGAGTAATTCTAAGGAGATTAATACGGGTTTACATAATTATATACGCGGGATACATTTCACACGTCTAGAGTAATTTTGTTGAAATTAATGAGTTTACCTTATTATAATATTCGTTATCCATATTTCACACTTATAAAATAATTCTGAGTAGCTTAATCAGAGGGTTGCCTAATCAAAACATGCATGGACTATATATATATAATCACTTCTAGAGCAAATCTGTGAAGATTCATCAGGGATTTACCTAATTATACATAATTATCAATGCGATAACGAAACGGCGATTTAATTCATGCCGAAGGCGTTAATTATATACATCAGATGACTTAGTTTATAGATCCTTATTCAGACATCTGTGAGCACCGAATATTTGTTTCTGTAAATGATACCGCCAACGCTCACTTTCACACGTCACACTCACGAACGAAGCGGCGGCTGCTACTGCGTTCCGTGTACGTTCGCTGCTTCACGCTGCAACTGGCGTACGCCCCCCGGTCCACGCGACACTGAGGAGAGCCGGCCGGCCGGCCTCACGCACCGCGGCGCGCATATCCCCACCACAGCTCTCCCCACGACGTGAATGGGAGTCAGACAACGGCACCGGTCTCCCGATACTTAACGGCGATGTACGGACAACAGAAATTGCTTAGCACCGAATGGAATGAAAGGAGGGTTACTTACTGTGAATACAAGTTAGTGTGTGTGAATAATTAATATCTATTAGTGTGTGAATGAGGGTCAGAGGACGAGTGAATGAACGAATGAGTGAAAAAGTGACGGCGTGTGTCCTAAGTGGGAGAAAGAGTGAGTCACTCAGATGAAGAGTGAAGGAGTTACATATAATGAACTGGGCGAGTAACGGAGTCAGTGACTTGCGTGTTTCGCATTGAATAGGTAAATGAGAGCGACTATGTAAGTGGATGGGTGAATAAAAAAAGAAGAGTGAATTGGCAGCTGCATTGTTTTTGTAAAGTAGGCTCTATACTTCGGTAACAAATCAAAATTCGGTTCAGGAGGTAATTAGGAGGAGATTGAATTCCTGTAATGTTTCCATTACATTCAGTCCATAACCTTTTTTCTTCTCGTCTGCTGTCTAAAAACGTAAAAATTATAATTTTGTATGTTCTGTATGGGTGTGAAACTTGGTCTCCGACATTAAGGGAGGAACATAGAGTGAACGCGTTTGAGAACAGGGTGTTGAAGAGAATATTTGGACCGAAGAGAGATGAAGTGACGGGAGGTTGGAGAAAACTACGTAATGAGGAGCTTCATAACTTGTACTTTTCTCCAAGTGTAATTAGCATGATCAAGTCAATTTGATATGCACAAAATTAGTCACTAGTTCAGGTCAAATATTAGCAAATAATTGATATTTTATTTAATGTGTAATATGGGCTATGCTAGGAAATACTTCACGAGAGTCTTGCCTATATATTCGAACGCCAAATAAGCTGCTAAAACTGCGTGCCCACATTGAAACCCGTAGCTTGTTCACAGTCTGATATTTAGTTTACCATATTACACTATATACATATTTCGATAATATTGTAGCTTACACAGTCGTTGCTATGCAGTGGCTGCGAGACGGACGAATATACAACGACCGTTTCTGAGCAACGGCTCGATAAACAGGTTCTTGCGGAAAAGAACACGCACGCAACAACAGAAGAACGGCCGTTTCTATAAAACGGCGAGGTAAACGCGCCTGTACAACAATAAACTTAGTTTTTCATTTCATGCATCCTGTTGCGCCAACTTCACTTTTAACATATATCACAAAATCAGTTGGAATCTGTATTCTCTACTGAACGGAAAAAAATACGTCGTAAGATGAGGCACCGGCAAAACAGTAAGTAAAGAATACAACTATATCATCGATACCAAATTCAGTAGTTAATTACAATACATTTAATGCCATTATTCCCACATAATTTCCAGATTAATGTCGAAACCATATTACACCGATATCACGGGCCTCCAAGCAATTTGTTACATGTATACAAGTCTAGAATACACCATTATGTCCGCGGGAATATAACAAAATTACAACAACTGACTTTATGATATGGAATATCACATGAAGAGTTATTTTACGCCATAACTTTCATTTTATTATATGTTTATAGTGCATTGTACTTTTATACCATGTATTTTATAATGTAATAATTATCAAGTATCCAGCTTTACTGTCACAGGGAAGTTGCAGTTCAATAGAGTGTGAACATAGTACTCATGTGTTTGCCTGATGATGGCTTTAAAAGCCGAAACATGTAGCTAAGCTAAGTTTAGCCTTGACCATTATATTGTTGTGTTGCAACGGACTTTAATAAAGAATTGTGAATAAACATATTGTTGATGGTGGTGTTTTCTATTCGGTCCGTGAAAATGGTTATAAAGAAGAAAGTAGAAATCTGGCAGTTGACCCCCGTGTGGAGGCGGGGTCGAATACCTCCACTCTGACCCTGCGAGTGTTAGGAGGAGACGGAGAAAAAGGGAAGTCTCAAATCTGAGACAGTAAAATATGGTCGCGAGTCCCAAGGGACTCGGACCCGAGAAAGACTGCGTTGGCAAGAGCAAGCAGCATATGGAAAATACAGACCCGTCCTCTCATCAGAGAAGGCGCTCCACAAAAAACAAGATCGCAACTGTCAAACAGTAATAAATATCTGGTCATGTGCCCTTGATTGGGCTCGACACCAAGACTTACTGATTGGCTGACCGTCAGTCGCAATGTGACTTTGACTTTGGCAGTTGAGTTGAGCACTGCAAGGGAGGCTGAGAAGAATATACAATCTAGTTCATTTGAGCTCTGTAAGGGAGGCCGAGAAGACTCTACGATCTAGGTCAGTTGAACTCTGCATGGGAGGCTGAGAAGACACTATGATCTAGTTCAGTTGAGCTCTGCAAGGGAGGCTGAGAAGAAACTACGATCTAGTTCAGTTGAGCTCTGCAAGGGAGGCTGAGAAGAAACTACGATCTAGTTCAGTTGAGCTCTGCAAGGGAGGCTGAGAAGAAACTACGATCTAGTTCAGTTGAGCTCTGCAAGGGAGGCTGAGAAGAAACTACGATCTAGTTCAGTTGAGCTCTGCAAGGGAGGCTGAGAAGAAACTACGATCTAGTTCAGTTGAGCTCTGCAAGGGAGGCTGAGAAGAAACTACGATCTAGTTCAGTTGAGCTCTGCAAGGGAGGCTGAGAAGAAACTACGATCTAGTTCAGTTGAGCTCTGCAAGGGAGGCTGAGAAGAAACTACGATCTAGTTCAGTTGAGCTCTGCAAGGGAGGCTGAGAAGAAACTACGATCTAGTTCAGTTGAGCTCTGCAAGGGAGGCTGAGAAGAAACTACGATCTAGTTCAGTTGAGCTCTGCAAGGGAGGCTGAGAAGAAACTACGATCTAGTTCAGTTGAGCTCTGCAAGGGAGGCTGAGAAGAAACTACGATCTAGTTCAGTTGAGCCCTGAAAGGGAGGCTGAGAAGAAACTACGATCTAGTTAAGGGAGACTGAGAAGAAACTACAATCTAGTTCAGTTGAGCTCTGCAAGGCAGGCTGAGAAGAAACTATGGTCTAGATCAGTTGAGCTCTGCAAGGGAGGATGAGAAGAAACTACGATCTACACGTAGTTCAGTTGAGCTCTGTAAGGGAGACTGAGAAGAAACTACAATCTAGTTCAGTTGAGCTCTGCAAGGCAGGCTGAGAAGAAACTATGGTCTAGATCAGTTGAGCTCTGCAAGGGAGGATGAGAAGAAACTACGATCTACACGTAGTTCAGTTGAGCTCTGTAAGGGAGACTGAGAAGAAACTACAATCTAGTTCAGTTGAGCTCTGCAAGGCAGGCTGAGATGAAACTACGATCTAGTTCAGTTGAGCTCTGTAAGGGAGACTGAGAAGAAATACAATCTACTTCAGTTGAGCTCTGCAAGGCAGGCTGAGAAGAAACTACGGTCTAGTTCAGTTGAACTCTGCAAGGGAGACTGAGAAGAAACTACAGTCTAGTTTAGTTGAGCTCTGCAAGGGAGGCTGAGAAGAAACTACGATGTAGTTCAGTTGAGCTCTGCAAGGGAATTTGTGAAGAGAAGACTTATTCGGTGCAGTTGAAAACCAGCGGCCAAAGAAGTAAGCGCGGAAGCTGAAGAATCTCCACTGTTAGAAGCCGCTACCGGGAAACGACTGGTGAAGACACAGCAGACAAAAGACTTAGCGTGTCCAGCAGTTATTTGTAAATTATGACGATAAGCGATGGTGCTATAAATAATTGTAATCACGAGTCGTGTATTAAAGTGGTCACTAAATTCAATCTCAAATCCAAACCACATTGACAGTCACTTTTAACACGTGAAAATATGTAGAGATAGTGGTTAAAATTTTTGTGCTAGCACCTGAGAACTATTCGGCCACTATTTACAGTTTCTATAAAATTTGAGCCCAACTCCAGAATTCAATCGAAATATTATTTCGCAGCCATCTTTAAACTTACGCCCGTCATTCATTCTACAATGCAGTTTGTACCCTGGTAATCATGTCTACGTAATTCGAAATAAATCTGAGTTGTACGTCGACCAAAATATTCTAGTAGAGCTACAACGGATCACAAGACTCTCACCTCTGTGGCGCCTAACTTTCTGTAACCTGACAGTGGATCTCCTCCCCCCCCCTTACCACTACCTTACCCACTCATCTAGCTATTTCTCTCCTGCTGTGGCTTTCATCTGTTCCATTTCCATCTAAAACATTCCTATCAGTGCTGCCAACTCACGCTTCCTTGACTATGCACTATTGTTATGCAAAAGTGCTTTTTTCTTCAACTGTAACACATATCATGCCCTCTAAGCTATTCGAATTCAAAATTAACTGGAGGAAGATACCCGTTGAAATTTAACGGAGAATAATTTATTTCATATTTTCATCCTTCACCCCTGTTCTTCCTTCCTTTACCTTATTCCCTCATCTCTCCATTCAAACTTAGAATGTTCGGTGTAGCGGTAACACTTTAGACTCGCTTTCTGGATGCGTTCGACTCAAATCTCGGTCTGGACACAGACTACAGCATCTGAGGTTTTCCGTAATTTTCCTCCAGGTTGTTGCCGGGATATCACCTCGATTAGGGTACGACCGCTTGCTTTCAGATCTCCAATTGCCTTATCAATCCGCCATTCGATGTTATATAGAGTGTCCCAGGAGGCTCCAATTAATATTTCATCCCACTTTTCGATGCTATACAGAGTGTCCAAGCAGGCTCCAATTAAACTACCTCCCACCATTCGATGCTAGACAGGGTTTCTCCGGAAGCTCCAATTAATATTTCAACCCAACATTCGATACTATACAGAGTGTCCCATAAGGCTTCAATTAATATTTCATCCCGCCATTCGATGTCATACAGGGTGTCCCAGGAGGAAAGGTCAATATTCTGGGAGCTCATAGTATCGGTCATTCTTAGCAAAAAAGAAATGTATGTGTACACGTGTCCTATTCCGAACGGTTTCCGAGATAGAGC